AATGTCTGCATCTTATACTCAAGACAAAGTATGCGCAGGTATATGTATCTTGACGTATGCGTAACTACGAATTTTATTTTGTCGTAAAAATAATTATTTTAAGAATTTCTACGTCATTAGCTGTACTGAAGGAAAACTTTTTATTGTATATTTTATAAAATCGTATAAATGTTGTAGAATTTCACAGAAATAAAAGGATTATGTAAAAAAGTAATCGTACTAACATTGAGTAAAACTAGTACCAGATTCGTTTAATGTAATAAAAAAATGAATTTTTTGGAATCTCTTGTCAATAATTTTTACTTATTTGTTTTCAATAAAATAAACAATTCATTTTCATAAAAATAATTATAATTTTGCAGTCAAAGTAAAAAAATCGAAAAAATTATGATAAGTTTATCTTTAACAATAAATAACTTTTTTCTACTCCCACCTTTAAAACGCCCTTTATCGTACATGTTTCCATGACACTAAGTGACCTTTTAAATACACATTGACAAGTTTATATGAACATTGTACTGAACTTTTAATTTAGCCGGCAGTAAACTATAACTTAAATTCGGGCACGGACTCCACTGTAAAGTGCTCATAAACATTTTCTTTACTTTTCCTGTGAAAAACTGTCAATTTTCAAGAAATAAATTTCGATTTATAACCTTTATAATCTGTGTTTATAAAATACAAAAATTTGACATTTAACGGTGACACATAGATTCCCCTATTGTTTCATAGATGGTGCTCTATACAAATTTTTGATTTAAATCATTTTAAGATAATAAGTATACTTATTATCTTAAAATGAAATATATTTGTCGTAGAAAAAGTATGGTATGCACCTCGTTTATAAACTTTTCTATACACTCGCTCGCAAGCTTGCTTGTGCCTAAATTAAATTCGTGTATAAAATGGCGTTTATCAAACTTGATACATAATATACTATTAAATCAGTGAATTTATAAAAAAATCATGGGAAAGCGTTCAATTTCCTATAAAAATATGTGTCTCTTATTGCTGTATATTAACTTGCTCGGGAGAAAAAAAATTAAACCCCATGTTATTTAAATAGAAAATGTATCGTCTTTGTGGCACGGTTTAATATGAATATTTTTTTTATAATTTATTTTTAAATTTTTTTTTAGGTCATAAACTTAAAATTTAGGTTGCGCTGCGAACAAAAAAAAACAAGTTGGTAAATAACGGACACGGTCGCATAGTCCCATTTTTAATAGTGTTCGTGTTGAAGGAAAAATTCTATGCATAAATCCTAAAAACTTCTTTTCAGATGTTATTAACAATTTAACAAAAATAGTTATATTTCCAGAGGTCATTTATTAGTTATAACTTCCGATTACTTGTATGAATACAAGTAATCGGAAGTAACTTTCGACAATTAAAAGAAAAAATAAAAATATCTGGAAACTCTTTTGTACATTCTTTAAAATGTTTCATTACTGTATATTTTAATTTAATTACGTTTTTATTTTTTTAATATATTGAAGAAATGTTTTGTTTATAGATACTTTTTCAGGCCTTTCAAAATTCGCAAAGCTGGCACGATCGGTAACGAGAAGCAGATCCGTTTTAGTATCTCAGTTCTCATCGCATCTGCCCAACTTAAAGGACACCACCAAGCAATCGCATCTGGCTCAAGTCAGTAGAATAAACATTACCGGAACAAAACCACCAACTAATCTAGTTTTTTATCCCTACGCTGCATATGGATTTATTTTTTTTTCTTTATTATTATTTTGTTGGTTGGTTTTTGTTATATTTATTTAGATGATGAGTTTAAATGCAGATATAATGCCACAGTATCGACAAGAAGCACCGAAGACGCCTCCACACATACTATTGCATTATTGCGCATTCAAAGCAATATGGGATTGGATTATATTGTGTTTAACTTTTTATACAGCAATAATGGTAAATATGTTCGTGAAGAATTTAAAATAATGGTGACACGAGTGGAAGCATTTGGGTCATTTTAAGATTTTTTGATGATACTTTTTTTATGGCTCTATATTATGTCGTAATAACTTTATATTATTATTTTGTTAATATTATGTATACAGGGTAAGTCTTTTAATTTGAAACTTTAAAATATCCCAGTAAATAGGCATTTTACGAAAAAATGCTTAAAATAAAAATTAAATAATTCGAGGGGGGAAATTAATTAGTACCAAAATTATTTTCCATACTCTCATCATTATAGAGAGGGCATGGAGTAACTTTAAAATTTCCAATGGAACACCCTATTTTTTATTGCAGATTTGAATAAAATAGGTAGATATTGTCTAAAACATTTTTTCATATTTGGAAAATGCTGTAATAAAAATTTTTTTTTTAGATTTCTCCTCTGTAGGGGAAACTGTTGTATTGTGGGACAGGTTCCATAGTGGGACAATTTAAATTTCCCCCCACTGTTGGCAGTTAAAATTTTGAATAAATAGGAACTTCACACAATGTAAGCATCAAATACAACCTTAAGATTTCTTGCTGAAATTGTTAGTTTGGCTGTGCCTTCGTTGTTGTGAGCATCAGAGGCACAACGTTTTTTTTAGCGTACACGTGTTCGGCATAGTTTTAGCTACTTAAAAACAAGATTTTATTATAAACTTTAGTGAAGAGGTTGCTGAGAGTGTCTTGAAGGTAAGAAGAGTTTTGTCTTTCATTAATATTGGCTTGTTTACTTTTTATTACAAAAGGCGTTAAAAATGCATAGGGGTGTATTGCGGGACGGTCTATAGTGGGACAATTATATTAAGGTGCATACTGGGATAAGCATTTTATTTTGGTATTTTCAAGTAGGTACCTAACTTGTCATTACATTTTTTTTAGAAATGGATAAAAAAAGAGGACGAAAAAACAAAAAATCTTTTTTGGTCAGTCGGCAAACACACCTAGAGAATGCTGAAAAAATAAAAAAAGCAATTGAGGCTGTTGTAACAAATGGAATAACTATTAGGAATGCTGCAAATCAGTTTAGTGTTAGTAAATCTGCTTTACATAGACATTTAAAAAGATGCAAAGATGAAGATGGTCTATGTTGACTATGTTGTTAATTTTATGAAAAAAAATTTCAAACAAAAAATTCAGGTTTCCAGAAAATCGAGATGAAGATGTTGTATCAAAAGAAAATATTATTATTAAACTTCCTATGCCCTTTACTTCTGGTGGAACAGAAAGAGTAGCTATGCAATGGCTCTTCGATTTTAATTTTGGGGAGTTTAATATTCAATAATTTTATTTCTACTTTTAATGTTTTTTTGTTCCTAATACCAAAGAATTTAAGTTATTTTTGTCTTTCTTTAAGTTTCCCTATTATGTTCGAAGATATTTTTGTTTTTGTTTTTTAATATATTTTATATTTTTACATATTATGTAGAAACTTTAACTTTTTTTAATAAATACTTAAAAATGTTCTGTTTTTGTTTAAAATCCCAGCTTAGCATAAAAAGAACACTGTCCCAGTATGCACTTGCCTAGGTCCCACTAAACAACATGGGGTTGGGAAAATGGTGTTTAGTGGGACATCCAATTTTTTCCTTTTGTTATGTCAGAATTTGTAAAATTATTTCAGTTATTACTAACTAAATCTACAATAAATATGAAGAAACATTTAGAATAGACAAAAAAAAAATAAAAAAAGTATTTATTTTAAATTGAAAAATATTGTCCCAGTATACAACAGTTTCCCCTACTATTATACCATAAAAATAATTATCTTATTAAATCAAGTCTGATTTTTTTATAAAGTACGATTTTTGTACTAATACTTATTTAAGTTTTCTAAAGTTAAAGTTTTAAATAAATAAATACCATCCTATCATAAGTCGTTACATCAGGAGCTTCATAGTTTGGATTTTCAAAATCGGGTATTTTTTTGTCAGTGGGCACGTGAACAAATACAACAAAATCCAAAATTTTTCCATTTTGTATTGTTCTCTGACTGGTCGTCTTTTACGCACTACTTGAAAATCCGCGTTGGCTCCGTCAAGTTTAACATCAGCGTCCTCTGACTGTCAAGTGAGGTGTGGAATGGTTGGCATCAAACTAATCGGTACTTACATCATTAAAGGGAACTTAAATGGCGAAATGTACCAAGATATTTTGGAAAATAAACTGCCCACATTACTTAAAGACTCAAGCTTGAAAGTAAGACAGAACATGTGGTTGCCCAGCACACTATTCCGTGTTAGCACGTGAAGTACTTGATCGCAATTTTAATGGTCGCTGGATTGGTAGAGCTGGTCCGGTTAGTTGGCCTAGCAGGCCTAGCAGGATCACCTGATCTTACTTCGCCGGATTTCTTTTTGTGGACCTATCTCAAAAACCGTGTAAAAAACCCGTGAAAATTTGATTGTTCCGAAATTTCAGCAGAAACGCTACTTAAGTACTTGTGTAGACTCATATTGCATTGAAGTCGAATGCCACCATTTTGAGCACTTACTTTAATAATAAATCGAAAAATAAAAATAATTTTTAGCTTAATTTGTATAATTAATAATAACAACCAACAAGTATTTTATAGAAAAATTATTGCAGAATCATATACAGAAGAAAAATTGAATAAAATTGACACATATTTTTAGTCAAATGATCCGAATCTGCAATAAAAAATAAGGTATTCCATTGAAAATTTTAAAGTTACTCTATGGCCTTCCTATAAGGATGAGAGTATGGGGAATAATTTTGGCACTTATTTATTTTCCCCCTCGAATTATTTAATTTTATTTTAAAAAAATTTTCGTAAAATAACTATTTACTGAGATATTTTAGTTTCAAGTTAAAAGACTCACCCTGTATGTTAAAATGTAAAAGTTTCCATGATATTATTAAACATTTTTTTGTAACGAAAATACATTCTCTATTTTTTCCATATCCAGTCGTGTCACCCAAGTTTTTAATTATTATTATACTCTTACTGTCGGTAGTCAAATTTAAAGATCATGTTCGTATTGTTTATAGGTTCCTTATAATGTAGCTTTTAAAAATAAGACTTCGGAGGACGTGTCACTACTGGTTGTGGACTCCATTGTGGACGTGATCTTTTTTATAGACATAGTTTTAAACTTTCACACGACGTTTGTGGGACCGGGCGGCGAGGTCGTATCTGATCCGAAAGTCATCCGCATGAACTATCTGAAAAGTTGGTTCATCATCGACCTGCTTAGTTGCTTGCCATACGATGTGTTCAACGCTTTCGACCACGACGAAGATGTAAGTTACTTCGGTTTCAATTTTGATTTAATTTCAGATAAATGTTTGGGATTTACTTTACGTTATCTGCCAAATTACCCTTTTTATAATTAAGTGGCAAAACATGTCACACTTTAATACTTTATGCAAAATAAAACATTTTTGGCAAACAATAAATTGCAATAAAATTATCACTTTAAATTATGTTTTTATCTACTCTTATATAGGCTGTTTAACGATCGTGGTCCATTAGAACTTTCTGGGGAACGGAAAAAGAAATCAACTTAAAATTTTAAAAGCGTTAATAATCCATCTTAGTTTATTTTTATAAAATGTTTTAAACAAAATTCCACTTCCGGTTTAACCGGAAGTGACATCAACTTTGTTATTTCAAATGGAACACTCCATATATTTGTATATTTTTAAATTCTACATAAAATTTTGAGTAAAATTACCATACCATGTCGGATACCTAAAATAAATAGTTTTTGAGTTATTCATTTTTTTCGTTAAAATTTGACAAATGCGCGTCAATCAAAAATAGGCCATAACTTTTTTGTTCTTAGGTTTGCGGATATGAGCCTAGAATTTTTTAAATCTTAAAACATTGTTTAAAAGATTCCATATAAATTCTTTAGTATTTCTTAACAAATTACTTGAGAAAAACCAGGCCAATTAGGCTAACTTGAAACGTTAATAACTTTTTTATTTTAAAAGTAACACCCTGTATGTTTTTACATAACCAAATAGAAAATTAAAAATAATTTCGATTAATTTAAATATTCCCTATACCTAAAGTTAATAATTTCAGAGATATTTAACAATTTCTAAAATTTTAAATAATATTTTGTAACAAGAAACCCATAGAGAAACCTTTCAGTTGAAGGTATCTATGGTTACAACGTAATCTGTCATTGTTTAACATTTAACAATTTGTTGACTAATTAAGTGTTTTGTAAACAAAATTACTGATAAAAAATAGCTGGTAGTAACTTTGACAATGCGAAACATTTTTAAAATTTAAAAGTAATACAAACAGTATTTCCTAATTTAAAAAAGAAATCAACAAAGCTGGAATATATCAACTAGATGAAGCCCAAGCTCATTGGAGATAATAAAAAATAAAATGAAAACCCAGTTTAATATTTATGAAATATTTTAATAACTAAAAGAATGTGTAACTATAAAAATTGAATAAACCAACAATATTTTATTACTAATTACCTATCTAATTTTTAATAAATGTTCAAAGTGTCCTCAATTTACATTTAAGCATTTCTTAATTCTTATTTCAACATTAGACGTTGCTCTTATCAACTCTTCTGGGTCTAATTCTTGAAAAGCAGCCTGAACACGGTTTCTTATTTTGAATTTTAGATTACGTGGTAACCATAGATACAATAGGTACTAAATAATATTTAAAATTGTTAAATATCTCTGAAATTGTTAACTTTAGGTATAGGGAATAGTTATATCAATCGAAAGGTTTTTTAATTTTAAATTTTATTAAGTAAAAATATACACGGTGTTACGTTTAAAATAAAAAACTTATTAACGTTTCAAGTTTGCATAATTTGTCATGGTTTTTCTCAAGTAATTTGTTGAGAAATATTAAAAATTAACATGGAATCTTTTAAACAATGTTTTAAGATTCAAAAACTTCTACCTTCATATCCGCAAACCTAATAACAAAAAAGTTATAGGCTATTTTTGATTGACGCGCATTTGTCAAATTTTAACTAAAAAAATGAATAACTCGAAAACTATTCACCTTAGGTATAGGACATGGTATATACCATACTATATAGTAATTTTACTCAGAATTTTATGTAGAATTTAAAAATGTAAAAATATATGGGGTGTTTCATTTGAAATAACAAAATTGATCCCACTTCCGTTTAAACCGGAAGTTGAATTTTGTTTAAAATAATTTAGAAAAATAGATTTAAATGAATTATCAACGCTTTTAAAATTTCAAATCCTTCAAATCTTTTTCCGTTTCCCAGAAACTTCTAATGGACCACGAACGTGAAACACCCTGTATAACGGTAAACATAATAACCGCCCCGCCTAACATCGGAACTATTTATTCGCGTTAGGCATCAGTGATTTTAACATTCACTGTAATTTAAACCAATAAGGTTTTAAAATTGAATAAAGTGAGGTGGAAAATGGTATATTTGTATTTGCTAAATTAATATAACTTACGGGTCGATTTTAAATTAGTTTTTACAGATTTTATTTCCAAAGAAATATGTATGTTTAAGGACTAAGTTTTTTTTAATTTGATTTGAAATCTGATTTTTGTAAATGAGAAATTTTATTCGGGATTTTTTTGCTAAATTGTATGTTTTTTTTACATTTATTTTATTTATTTCTTTTGCGAGATTTTTCTATAGACCCAAAAATAGCTTAAGTAGCATTTTTAGTGGATGAAACGTATCGGCCAATTATACTTGGAACTGTAAAGTGTTTTGCCAAAATCTCTGCCACGTGGTAGAAACGGTTCTATTACGTGGAAGTCACTAAAATGGGGAACACTTTTTAGTGACTGTTACGTTCCAACAACGTTCTTGGATTGTATACAGACACCAGCATATTATTTATCTTATTATCTTTGCTTTCTTTAAAACTGGACAATAAACTAACACTAAATACTAAAATCATTATAATGTAAGAATACAACTTGCAAATAATAACTAGAATTAAAATAATCCGAAGACAAAATTAACAAGAATAAAATTTTACTGTTAACATGGGTGTCATATCTCGAAATAAAAGCACACCCTGTTAAAATATGTTATTATAAAAAGGAATATAAAAAGTTGTAAACTTAGCCGATCTAAAAATTATTTATCTAGAGACCTCAAATATTTTTTTTATTATTTATGATCACCTGAAACCAATAATTATGTATTAACGTGTTAAATTTGGTACAGTACTAACCAGAATTATTTGTATAAAACTACACATTTATTTTGCTACAATGACGACTATTTGTAAACATGTCTGCTTTTGTAGAAGGGAACTTTAAAGTGGTAATGACCACCGTAATTATATAATGAAGTTTTGTCACATTCAAGGTTTGAATAAAGTTTCGAAAACGTTGCCAAAACTACCCCCTTTACTACTACTACCACTTCCAAGTAATACTTAAGTGATGTGGTGTGGTTGCCGTTACTATTTATAATCCACTTTAAAGTTTAGATTACTTTAAAGTGGTGTCAAAAGTGGTCATAACATTTTAGATACCAGACTGATGCACCAAAAAGTTAAAAATCTATGAAGTATATTCTGCTAGTGCAAATCACATGGTTACAACTATGATAATATATTAAAGATATTTTAACTGTATCGTGGTAGATTTACTTATTTTAACGTACTTGACACTTATTTGAAGTTTCGATATCAGTTTTCGCCACTATAATGCTACTTGGGAGACTCCTAAAAGAACTAAAACTTTTTTGGCAAAATGAGGATTACTTTATTAGATATACACACAACCAATCTTATATGAAATCACTCAGTTATTACTTAAAAAACTGGAATTGAAAATAAAAATCCCCTTATCCTAACCAATTTAAATTTGAAAAAATTATTAAAACAAATTTTATATTGAACAAATAACAAAAAATGTAAATTTCTCTAAGAATAAACTTTACGGTAAATTAGAATTTAAGAATAAATAATAGGATTTTGTTAATTAAATAATCAGTATTGCCACCTCTAGCATCTATGCAAGCTTTAATTTAACGAGGCATGCTTTCTATTAAGTTATAAATTTCTCCTTGGAAAACATTTTCTCTGGATTTATCCGGAAATAAGACATTTCTCTAATCTTTAATTTTCCAGTTTTAATACTCCAAATACCAATTTAAATGGCCAACTCTATTTTGCACTAATATTTATGGAACCCTTAACTGTGTTCTGCGATTTTTTTATTTGTGCCGAATAATGTACCACCGCTGATAAGTAGAGTTATCAAGAACTGTTGAGAAATGAAAAGGTGTTTTATAGTGGCCTTTTTTGACACCGGATTTTAATCTTATTAAGAACTTAAGGAATAATGTTAAAACAAGAATAGAAGGAGAGAGCACGTTAAAACAACCCGGCAACGCAGAACAACCAGTAGAAGTAGTTTTATAATTGTAAGAAGTTTAACAAGAATAAATAAATAACTTCGTGCTTGCATTTGGGCTAGAGGTGGAAACATTGATTATAAAATTAACAAAAACCTATTATTTCTTCCTAAGTTCTAATTTATTGTAAAGTTTATTCTTAGAGAAATTCACATTTTTTATAATCTGTTCTCTAGAAAATTTGCTTTAATGAATTTTTGTAATAAAATTGGTTCAGTTAAAGTTCTTTTAATTTCCAAATCACTTTTTTTCAATTGGAATAATGTTTCTCTGGGTGATTCCATATATGTTTGGTTGTGTGTACCTATATAAATAATAATGTTAAGCTTAGTCCTAAGAAAACTATTTTGGCAATTAAATGATTTATTACTATAAACTTTAAAGCATGATTAAATTTTATATTCAGGGCATTGGTAGTCTATTCAGCGCCCTCAAAGTGGTACGCCTGCTACGCTTGGGCCGAGTGGTGCGCAAACTCGACCGCTATCTGGAGTACGGCGCTGCCATGTTGATCCTGCTCCTCTGCTTCTACATGCTGGTCGCTCATTGGCTGGCGTGCATATGGTACTCGATCGGTCGGTCGGACGCCGACAACGGCGTTCAGTACAGCTGGCTGTGGAAATTGGCGAACATCACGCAGAATCCGTACTCGTACGTGTGGCCGAACGACTCGAGCACGCCCGAACTGATCAACGGACCTTCGCGAAAGACGATGTACGTGACGGCGTTGTATTTCACGATGACGTGCATGACGTCCGTTGGGTTTGGCAACGTGGCAGCCGAAACGGACAACGAAAGGATCTTCACGATATGCATGATGATCATTGCGGGTGAGTTAAAAATAACTGAATTCCGGTAAATGACAACATTATTTATTATAAATTAGTGATATGAGTTTCGTAAAATACTAAACAACGCTTAAAGCCATGATATTTAGATCTTTAAATTTAATATTTTACTTTGTCTGTATTTCTTCAGACAGAGCACATTCCATATTAGTCCAAATTTAATGGAATACAAAAAAATTAATTATGTAAAACTTACCAAAATTGCTTCTTCGCAATAATTAAAATACTTATTTTTCTTCAGCTAGGTACTTTATGTTAATTTCTTCCTATAAAGGGCTACGCAGTATGTTTAATGAAAAACGGTACTTGGGGTTTATAAATTTAAGACCCGTGGTGTAATACATTGTTGAGAGCAATGGTAAAGTATACTAAAATAACCTAAAAACAAGCATTTACATTAAGGATTGTTCGATAGATTTTCTCTGTATAAATTTGTTATTCTTGTGTCAATTACAATATCGTTGGGACTACCTACCTACTACGGCTAATAAAATCGCCCAGTTGTTATTTTTTAATTGTATTACAATTAGGAAAGGAATAAATGCTCACAGCATATTTTTTTTGAATGAGCGATTTGTCAAATATTTTAATTTTTTTGGTTTTGTATTTTTGAATATACTTAAATATTGAAATAATTAAATTAATAAAAATGTGAGTTGTAGTACTACTTAGTGTAGTTGATCACGATATTACAATTACACGAAAATTAAATTAAATTAATAAATTTCGATACATTTTGGACACAGTAGTAGAAGTATATTAAAATAACCTTAGACACGTCCCGCGTTTCATGCGGAAATTTATTTATAAGTAAGATTATACTGAATAAGAGACCGCATGTTTTTACAGAGAAAATTTAAAATAAATAGATTTATTTATAAATCGAATTTTATGACACTGCACTGTCCAAAATTTCATGACCATTTTAACACCAAATTAACACCATACATGGTCTATATCGATACAAACAAAAATGGTATTAAATATGGTTCGTTGGTCCAGTGTAAATTCAACTACTAAAATAGTGTAAATTTAACTTTCACAGAGTATTAAAATAAATTTTACCTGATGTAAATTGAACTCCTTTTCAGTGTTAAAAATATTATATGTTTTTGGTCAAATTAAATCATAATACACTGAAAAATAGGAAAAAAAAGGAAACAGGAAGTTCCTTGACGCATTACTAGTATTTTACCAGAAAATTGAACCTTCACCTCGCTAGAGATAATGTTTTTAGTGCGTTCCACCAACTTAAAATACTTTAAGTATTGACAGCTGTTTCCACCTATTTAAGGTCTGTTTAGTATCGAACAACTTGTAGTGTCACACCAAAGCAAAGGACTACCTGAGCTTATATACTCTTCATGTAAGTCAACAGAGGCGAGATTTAAGAACATCACGTGATGCACACCGCCTTTGCCGCGATCGGTACACACTATGCAACCAGGAATGCACGGCAAATTGTTTTAATCGTTTAAACAGAGTGCTTTAGGTTGAAGTAACTCTTATTTTACAAACAACATATTTAGTAAACTGAACCATACAGCGGGTTGGTTTCACTAAAGTTTTCTGGGTTAATTTAACCAATTTAAAAAAAAATAAAATAACTATCTGGTTTAGTACCGTCAAACTAATCTTTGTTTATATTAACCTTCCCATAGTTGATTTAAATAAATACTTATGGGTCAACTAAATTAATAAAGTTAAATAAACTATTCTTTTTTTTCTGTGTAGGTGCACTTCTCAAAAATTTTTAGATAAACACCGTTTTGGTGTTTGCTGTATATAACATTTTCAACCATAATTCATGGTGTTTATATTAACACCACTTGGTGTTGGATTTTGACACCATTTTAAGATTACTCTTTACACCTCAGATATTTTAAACAGTGTGGTATGGATACAGAAAAAAAATCTATTTGGCGAAAAGCTAAGTATGTTTTCCAGGGTATTTTGAACCTGCTGACAAAATTGATATCCATTTTATTCGCTTTGGTCTTGTTTGAAATATATTTTTTTATATTGCTCATATAGGTTGTTAGGTAATAAGTTGTCATCCTTTTGGGGGGATGGTAGTATACGCCAAGAAATTAAGCTTTCTTTACTTTTGCATAGGTCCTACTATTTTTATGCTTTTAATGGGCAACTACTGGTTTTGTTGCACAACAGCTGTAGACGAAGTATAGTCGGCCCGTTAAAATTATTGTCAGATTCTTATAAATCTGCAGACATTTTTGAAAGGCCAAGGTCTCTAATAAGGTCATTTAAGTCAATTTGATTAAAAAGTTTAGGTCTCGAAGTAGTTTCCAAAAAGTATAATCTTCGATACTTGCTTTTTCAAGTACCTATGTCGACGCTGGATGAATTAGTATGATTTCTACGCCAAAGCTTTTCTTTTAGCGGATCTGGCACAGGAATTTCCTATGAGTGCAGAATTGGTCGTCGGGTTATATACTGTCAGGATAAATATTAAGACCAATTATTGTTGACAACGCAAAAATAATCTTTCTTTGGATATGAATTTTGCTTTGTTTGTTTATCAATAATTAGTCACAACATCGATTTGGAATTTTGGTATGCTTAAGCAATGCATCTTTTGACTTATATATTTGATTAAAAAAAAGAAACATTTTTTTGTATTATAGCGTGACTTTTATACCATCCTCTGTTAATTGAAAATTCTTAAATGTTTGTTTTGTAAATTAAGGGTGTCCCCATAAGAACGCCGGATTAAGTATGTTATTTAAACACAATAAAAATTTAAAAATAATTTTTATTTTTATTTTGACATAAATTACACATCTTCCGATTATACATGAAACAAAATATCTGACAAATGCCCACCAAGACTGCCCACCCTCCCTCTTTTAATGAACATCCAGGCATATGTGTATGTCTTTAAGTTGATGAATTGTTGACCAAAATTCAGCAAGTTTGTTTGTCAGCCACTAAAATTAAATTTCGCTTCATCGCTAAACAATTTTATTTTTGAAATTCAACATCTTGTTGCCTTGCCCGAATCCAAATAACAAATTTCTGGTGCATTGCATGAACTACTGGGTTTAGCTCCTGTGTTAATTGAATTTTTTTTGGATGACTTAATGTTTTTACACTACAGAAATCATATTTTTAAGGTTGCACTTTGTCAAAAAATAGGAACATGACGAAATTTACATGTCATCAATTGCTTTTTTATGACAACGCGTATAATTTTTTTTATATTTTGGCACGTTTCTAACCAAATGCAGTACAAACCACCATTGCATTTTAGTATTGAAACCGACATCTTTAATGCCTCTCTTAGCAAAACCACTCAAAACAAACTGGAAAGTTGACTATGACATTTTGGTTTAATTACGCGTTCACTCTTTTAATATGTATGAAAATTACCAATTTAATTATTAATCCCGGCGCATTCGCCATTTTGTAAGTAACTAATTGGATAAACTAATTCATACTGTGGCAAAGTGTTCCTTTGCCAAGGAGAACTTGCCGATTAGTGGGTGGATCGTGGTATTTTAAATGCGTGTTTATATCCAAAAACTCTTCATTGTTGTCACACACAATTTTTACGAGTTAAAAAAGGTGAATATAAAAATAACATACACGGAGAGAAAAGTATAATGCTGATTACCATAATTATAATACCCTTTACTATAATTTATATAACTATTTGGGACAACTATCTTGTATATTGCCAGATACTATGCATATTTAGTATTTTTTAAATATCCATGTATGTTAAAATATTATTATTCTCAACCTCAACCTTCACGACACTGTAGTAGTGGAACACACCCAAAACAAAGAAATACCTGAGCTTATATAACATGGTTGGTAAGCCAACAGAGGCGAGATGTAAGAACATCACGTGATCCACACCGTCTAACGACGCGTCGCGACGTGGCCTTTGCCGCAATCGGTACATACTAGGCAACCAAGTAGGTTCAATTATTTCTTTTAAGTATTACCAGTAATGGGTCAAGAAAGTTTATTGAAGAAACTAAGAAAATTGAATGTTTAAAATGTCATGAGTTACTATATTTTATATTATATTTAAATATATTGTTTATTTACCTTAAACATAAAAGTATCTTTATGTTTACTATATTTTTATTAATGTGTAATATATTATAATATTACACCTTACATTTGATTAAATCATATAGTAAATATTACTATTTGTAGATAGTAAAATCAATTTACCATACGAACATATTAAAAATTAAAGTATATATTATACATTTATGATTTAGTAATATTGGTGTTGTAATCTTTACTAAAATTGTATAATAAAAAATAATATTTTGTATTACAATCTTAATATTGTATTGACGAATATATAATATTGTTACCCTAAAAATTTGTTAAAGTAAATTTTACTATATTTTTTTTACTATCTAAAATTTACTATACATTTCTCTCCGTGTAAAAAAATGCCTGTTTTACCACATAACTTTCCGTTTAACACAACAAACCAAATGCTCGGTAGGAGCAAACCTAAATGAAGTTATGTTTTAACATTATTTGTCGAGGGGTTTCAAATACTTGTGGCCAAAAATGTATAATGATTGTGGGTGAGTTACACGGAGTGATCATTTTTTATTATTTCCGCTAACATATTCGGTGCGAATTTGCGAGCGAAGAGTTTCGACCTTTGCGGAGCAATAAAAATGTAGCTTGATTAAAGCAAACGTTTACACGTGCCCTGGTGTTAATTAAAGTCGAAATGTGAACTTTTGATGCACGATTTTTCTACGCCGTAAATTGAATTTTAAATTTACCGCTGTTTTTTCCTACATGCATACTAAAATGTGGAATATTAGAATTGTATCCGAAAGCAGTATGAAATTGCTACTTGTAGTTTATACTGCATATATTTATTTTTTAGGTGTTTTTTGTTATATTTTGGAATTTATATTTATTTTTCTTCTTAAATTTAGTTAGCGTACTAAGAGGATTAAGCCTAATTAGGATTTAAA